GGCCACAGCCTTAGTGGGGGCAGTTCCCTCAACTACCTCATTTTTATTTTTCTTTCTTTATCTCAGCTATCTCGGAATTTTACAAGATAGTTGAGTTTTTGCCATTTCCAAATCTGCTTTTCTTTTATTTTTCTAATAAGGGGTTGGAAAGATACAACCCTTTTCAGTTTAATGTACTTGAACTTTTTTTTCCATGGCAGATAAATTGGGGAAAAGGCTGCACTTAGCATTTTCTTCTATGACCGCTCAATTTTCAGGCTCCCTCTAAAAATGGGAGCTTGACAGTTACCTCTGGCAGCTTCTACCAGAGGTAACACCTCGTGAGGACAACTGTCCTCACGAGAATGCACAAAAATAAAGAAAAATAGACAAGATAAAAATGAAAATAAAACTAACTATAACTACAATGCACCCGGCCCTTACTTTAGTCAGGTGTATCTTGTTGAAACCGACAACACTCCCTCATTTTCCTCTACCCTCCCCTAAAAATGGGGAGGCAGTTGCAGGTTGGGAGAGGTAGGGGAACAACTCGTGAAAATTCATGAGTTCAAATCCCGACAGACTCAGAGCGGGGTGCAAAAAGTACCGCGCCTTTGATGATTTAAAAAAAAACATTCGCCCAATAAAAAAATATGAAAATATTCACGCGCATGGCCTAGGTGCCGGGCTACCTATAGAAAAATGTTCAAGGCCGACAATTTTTTTTACGCCACTAAAAACATATTGGCGCAAACCCAAAAAATACAGATTTTCATAAAATTTGTTATCGTTTTCTCGGTTTTTTTTTTTTTTTTTTTTCCTCCTTTTTTTTCTTTCCTTTTCTTTTCTTATCCCCCCCCCTTACAATGGGGAGGCAGCTGGCAGGTCGGGAGGAGTAGGTCCTCCTCTCTCCCATCCTCTCATTTCTCTCTCTCTCACTCTCCACTTAACTCCCACAATTCCTTCTCCACACGTGTGTTGTGAGCTGCGAGATTTAAGATCTCGCGGTCACGAATATTCGTGCATTCTGAGTAAGGAGTTAAACATGATCCCACATAGCATGAAAAGGTTGTTCTTCTGCCTTTTGTTCCCATGAGGTTGTTGCCTCGTTTTCGTTTGGTTTCGGGGTTTTTTTTTTTTTTTTCCCGTTGGCAGCCCGTTCGTCATCATGGGCTAGCTCGTGGAAACCAGCGAGGTGGCCGTGTATATTTCCATGTTCTAGCGGAGGATTCATTCGGTTTTGCTCATCCTATCATGGGGAGTAGTATGGGGCCAACCGTAGGTAAGTAGGTAACTCTCTCTCTCTCTCTCTCTCTCTCTCTCTCTCTCTCTCTCTCTCTCTCTTACACACACACACACACACACACATACACACACACACACACACACACAAATACAGGTGTATAGGCGATGGATGGACAGGCGGACAACTGAAGTTGGGACGACTGACCTCACATGAAGGAGATCTTTTTTATTTCTTGTCTTTTTCCTTCTTCCTTTCCCACTTTTCTAGTGTTTTTTTTTTTTTTTTCCCTTTTTCCTCTTCTTTTCCTTTTTTTTTTTTTCGGTTTTTCTTTCCTGATACTCATTCTTTTTTGCGACACCAGTTTTTTACTTTTTACTTTTTATTTTTTGTTGTTTGTAATGGTAAGTAATAATGCACGCTTTGCATCTCCTATTCCCCCTTCGATGGGATTGGGACAACACTCGAACCTTGGGGAACTCCCCCCCGACACTGATAGGGATGACAAGACACGTTTGAGAGTAACTCACTCTCAAGTCTGGACAGAATAAGGATTTGACGGTACGAGAACCCCCAGGGCCGAATTTTTTTGGCTTCTTCCTTTTTTCTTTCCTTGTTTTTGTTGTTGTTGTTGTTTTGTTTTTGTTTTTTTGTTTTTTTTTATTTTTTGTTTTTTGTTTTTTGAGCTTACAGATTAAGGCATTAAACAGGTGGATAGGAAAGTAGGCTTGGGTCGGAAGTTTGTTATTCCCGGAGGGACAATAGCTTTATTAAAACGGGGCGTTGGCGGTACTATTCACCGGTCCTCAGTGCAATAACCTGTTCTAACGGCAAGTTAGGCACAGGGCGTTCCGGTTTCTGCAGGAGCTTGACGTGGCGATAGGCGGCATGGATTTTTTCGCGGATTGGGACCAAGAGGAGGGGCAGCAGGAAGTGGTAACACTCCTGGCGTGAGGCCCACTCGGTTTTTCCCTGACCACACCTCAACTTGGCGCCATGCAGTCCAGCGCGTCGTGTCCAACCGAATTCATCATGCCCTGCCTTTGCTCTTTCACGCCTGCGCTTAGGGCGTGTCTGGGTCTGCTGCTTCTCCTTGCGTTACTCCCCAATCTCGCCATAGCCAGCCTGCTCTTTTCTGCCTGACGCTCCAAGAAAGTATTTTTGCACATCTCTTCCAGGGGCTTCGCATCGCTGATTACTGGCACTATCTGCTTCTTCTCCCTATTTCTTGCTAGCGGTTGTTGCCTCTTCTTTGTGTCAGGTGTTGCTCACTGGTCGAACGGAGTGTTTTGGTTACAGGCGAAGTAGATCATGGAAACCAAGGCGGTGACTGGGATGCCTCCTCACGTCTTTTTAGCGTTTCTCTCGTTTTTATCCTTCCTCTCCTTTCTGCACTTCATCTACTTCCTTCCCTCTCCTCCCTACCCCCCGAATGAGCTATGCCCCCCTTGCCCCCTTCCCCCCTCCCCAGACATCGCCACCCGCTTGCATAAATGTCCATTATCCTTTACTCATACCTCCCCCCCACGCCCCCCTTCGACCCCCTCGCCTTCCAAAGCCCATGGAAGATGACCCCCCCTCTGATGACGCCCCAGATAGCATGGGGCAGAAAAGCGCTTCACGGTTTTGCCATGCCCTTCCTGCAATTCGGCGTGATGGTCCGTGCAGATATAGGAGCACTTCGGACCTGGAGGACAGAGCTGAAGCAGGATTTACCTTTTTTTCCCCCCTTCCCCCCTTCCCCCTTCCTCTTTTCCAGGACCTTTCCTCTATTCGCTTTTTCTCTGTCTCTTTCTGTAGGAGCAGCTACCTGTTCAGATCTTGGCAACGAAGAGGACGTGTAATGTTGTGATGTCGACCTTCGTTCTCAACTCTTTTTCAAGTATACGTGTGCTAATGAGTTTTTGAGAAACACAATGTGTGGCTTGGTTGTATATGCGCGTGCTTTTGGACTTTTGAGATACACAAGGTGATATTTGATCGTGTCTTTACTTGAGTATGGTTGCACGTACTGAAAAATAGGGCATTTTCTTCCTCCTCCGTCCTTGTCGTTCTTTCTTTCTTTCCTTTTTTTTTTTTTTTTTTTTTTCTTTTTTTTTTTTTTTTTTTTTTTTTTTTTTTTTTTTT